AAGAGCAAAATAAGAAGCTAAAATAGAAAAAAAAAAAGAAATCAGTGAATATATTGAAAAAAATTTGTACTAGATATAACAAATCTAAAAAAAGTTCTTAATAGTCTATTTGAGAGATATCATAGCAAAATAATAGTAGATAAAGTATTAATTAACAGTAAAGAAAAGTTTGAGAATGCAATATTAATTACAGAAAATAAAGAAATCAAAAAAGAAGTTACAAGATATTTTTAAGACTAGTTTTACAAAGAAATCACAAATTCAATAAAATAGACAAAAACTGGAAAAAATTCGATAAAGAACAAGAGAATATTAATAAAGAATGATATAAACCTATTATAAAAAATGTAATTGAGATAGAATGAAATGAAACAACAAGTTTATTGCAAAAAGATACTATATTAAAAATATTAGATATTAGTTATAAACTTATCAAAAGTATAAATAGCAAAAGCAAAAGTTGTATGATAAATTTTACTCACAGAGTCATTATCGAAAGAGAATTTTTAAAGAAATAGAAACTTGATAAATTTATTTAATCTCTAAAAATATTAACTAAGAATATAATCTGATATCAATATAACTAATTATATTACTTAAGACTTTTAGAAAGTTAGTTATAAGAATTGTTCAGAAAAGGCTCTGCAAAATAATAATTATCGTTATGGGATGAATTAAATGGTTAAGAAATTTTATACGGTTCCAATCCCTGTAAAAAGCTTTCATTGTTGTAATTATTTTTTCACTTATTGTACATATTCGTATAGCTATTGAACAAATCTATCGCTTTTATTCAGCATATCTATTTAGTCACTAAATCACTATTAAGCTTTTAGTTTTAAAGATTAATAAAATTGATTTATCAAATTTTGTTCTTGAATTTGGGTTATCATCCAAATGAAGTATAAATCCTGATTCCCAAATCCAAACTATGTACGTAGTAATGACATAATTCAAAAAAAGGGTTGGTCACAACACTAGTCTAAAACTGGTAAAAATGTTGCAAAAGTCAAATAACTGGTATGACCTTTTGCTTCAGTTGGAGTTTTAGATACATATAAATTTGGAGGATCATGTTTAACTCTTGGAGATTTGGCTAACTTCGAATTAGAAGGTTCTTCTTCGTTACGTTTACGTTTTTTGTCTTGTTGAACTTTGATTTTGGACACAGCATCTTTCACAGTGTATATTGGGATTGTATGTACCTCTTGATTACGAATAAGGCATTCAAACATTTTGATTTCTATTAATCAGATTGATAAATGTTAATTGCAAGATATATACAATTGTAAGAAATTTGTTATATAAATAATTACCGACAAACCCATGTTCGTTTAACGAAGCACATGCTCGTTGCACTTGTTCAATGCATGGGCTAAAACAACAAATTTTACCTATTCGATTTTGCTAGAAAGAAAAAAATTAATACAAAAATTATCTCTAATTGATAGATAATCAAATAAATAAGTACTTTAAAAGCCGCTTTAGCTGAAGCGATCGCATCCCATGGTGCAGGCAAGTCCAAAAAAACTAAATAATTAAGGGGTGAAATTGTCAAAATTCTTTTTTCAATTAATTCCAAAATGACAATTACGGTCTTACCGGCATGTACTAAATCGGTTATTCCAAACCCATCCTTATAAACATCTCTACATTCTATAGTGATAATATTAGAGAGACCATGTTTTTCAAAATCTTGTCTGTTAATATTAACAAATGAGTTAATCATATATTTGAACGATTTGCTTCATGTTCTTCAAATCCTGAATATCAATACAAACAAATGAATAGTCTTATATTTTAATAAATTGTCTAATTATAGGAATTAAGATATCAAAATACTTTGCAGCTTTGGCACGCTCTTCATGATATTCAAACGTATACAAATGGCCATTTGGAGCAATGGTTCTAGCCAAAGAATGTGAGAAAGATCCGCTCCCCGTTCCTAACAATTAAAATTATTTCAATAAATTTAAAGAAAAAATTTTTTGAATAATTGGTTAATTACCACATTCCAATATTACTGAGCCAGGTTTTAGATCAAGATATGTTGTTATAAAAGAAATATCCGCCAGATATAATATTTGTGTTCTATGTGGAACAACATGTGTCCATAATTCTGGTGTCGGATGCAACAAGTACATGAATCCTCTCCCATTATGGGAAGGCATCTATATTATTTTGATATCACGATCTTATTAGTCTGTTTTATCCTTTGAAATAATTTGACGTCTATGACAGTCGAATCAACCAAAAAAAAAAAAACACAGCAATTTTACCTTAGTTCCATACTCTTTGCCAATCATATCTGAGTGTCGAAAAGTGCCAAATTTATTGTTATACGTCGATTTAGGATCCATAACTAGTGGTGTCATGTTCTCACGAGACTATAATGAATACAAGCAAATTACATTTAAGAGCGTATTAAAAGTACTTTTAAAAAAAAACTACTTACCATGTAGGCGATGACAAGATCTCCTTCTTCGATAAATGTCTTGTAATTTAAAAAGCTGGTCATAATTTAAGATAGCCACAGTATAGAAACTGCACCAAAAAAAAATAGATTCTACTCGAACATCCGCATTCTGATTGGACAAAATCGACGATCCATAACAGATTAAAAAACGGTTTTTTGGTCTATCGATTAACTGTTAAGGAACCTGGCACGCCACATTGTACTATGTTTTTTACTTATTATAGATTACTTCGATTTTGATAGACGTTTTTAACTGTTTACTGACTTTGATCAAGTATATCTCTGCAACTACCAAACCAAATTCGATGAAATTTTTTTTGTTCGAATTCTAAAGATCTGTAGAATTAGAATAAAAAAAATTTATCGAATTTGATTAGGTAGATATCGATATATCTTCATTCAAAGTTTTGAAAAATTGTAATTTCACAGGGGGGTATGGTTAACAAATTTGGGGGGTGTGAAATAATAATGTTACTTACTTTGCCCGTCTCTAGTCTATCTCCAAAATATCGATGTTGCAATATTAGAAAGCAAGAAAATTTTGACCAAAATTTCGGGTTGGAATTTATTGGCATTGAAAATTTATTAATAAATGTTACATAAATTATATGATTTGTAATCTGCAACCTTGCGACCTTGCGACGTTAGGGACTATCAAAATCAAAATCTACTTAAAGTAATATTGGAGTTCATAATTTTTCCATACTATAACGATAATAATGTCTTTATTATTTTTATTACTTCAAATGAACAAACTCAAATTTGCCAAATAAACAAGATATATATTTTTATTGCGATACTAGATTTAGTTTAAAAAAATCTTAAATCTTGTTATTTTATAGAATTTTTGAGACATTTTGACAAAGAGCATACATGCATAGTAATTGTATGAGTAGTTAGAATTTATTAAATTTCTATTATAATAACGATAAAACACTATTAACAATATTAATTAATTTTACTTAAATATATATAATATACTAGCTAAAGAGTATAATTTTTAATAAGAATTATTATTCAAAAATAATTAAAATTCTAGTTCATATCAAATACTATATTAGTAATAAGTATACTGAGCTAAAAATATATATTTTAAATCAAAATTCTTATAATTCTCTAACTTTGTTTTACATATAAAAATATATGATATCAGTATATATTATTTTATA